TATAAAGGTGATTTCAATGGGAAGACGTCTATTTCCACACAGTTTCATTATTCATCGGTTCATCTTGAGCATACTCGTACCCACAGACATTTGCAAATGGCAAACTCAGTGTGTTTGTTTGTGTAAGTAATGAGTAGCACATCGACACAATATTATAAAATATAATATAATATTTACAGTTAAGTAGTGGGGAAAAAAGGACAGACAGACAGACAAACAGACAAACAGAGAAAACAAAGCGAAAGTTTTAAAACAGTAGGATCTACCAGTTGCTCCCTCCAACCAAAAGCGCAAAGTCAGTAAAGACCAGTAAAAATATAAATATGCTAATCTTTCAAAAGCGCACAATTTTGCCATTGATGTACACGTAACATTATGTTCACAAAAAATTTGTTTCATCATTTTTTTTTTAAATTGGCGTCAAGAGAATTATTGTTTTTGCTTTTAGTTTTGTTGTTTGTTTTTTTGTGGGTTTTTTCTTCCATGTATCATTATCACAAAAAAGTGTCTGCCAGACATGAACATAACAACAGAAACCCGTAAGTTAAGAGACGGTGTCAAAACGAAAACAAAATCATGATATATACATGTACATGTATATTATAATTTTTCAGTCAATCAAAATGTATAAATAACAATTAATTGCGTTCATAGCACACTGAACAAAACAAAACAGACTGATGAGTATGTTGTAATACCAAGTGTTGTTGTTATTTAAGTGCTGTTGTTGCTGTTAGAATGCTGTTGTTAGAGTGTTGTTGTTAGAGTGCTGTTGTTAGAGTGCTGTTGTTAGAATGCTGTTGTTAGAGTGCTGTTGTTAGAGTGCTGTTGTTAGAATGCTGTTGTTAGAGTGCTGTTGTTAGAATGCTGTTGTTAGAATGCTGTTGTTAGAGTGCTGTAGTTAGAATGCTGTTGTTAGAGTGCTGTTGTTAGAGTGTTGGAGCTGCTGTTACTGCTATTTTTATGACTGTTGTGCTTCACTCAGCTGGCAAACTAAATGTTGCACAATTAAAAGTTGTGACTGTTCACTTTTGTGTAATACTTGCAATAGTAAGACAGCAAACAGTCTAGCACATGATGCTATTCAAGGCACACGACGTGGTAAAAATGTAAAGAGTTAATTGATTCCGTCCATTCGGCCGCTGACAGCGGCTCTGAGTTTTTTCCTCTGCTTCCATTCGGCCGCTGTGATCGGCTCAACGAAATCCGAAACAAAGGTGCACTTTTTAACATAGCTACTACTTTTTAAGTTGTCGAAAGGAAGTAGTAGCCTACTTGTAAACAAACCTGACCTCAATCTCTGAGCGCCAATATCGATCGAAACTCCGCGAAATTCTTGCAAAAATCGTTGTTTTGTTGTTGCGATGTAGGCTAGATCTAAGA